CCGAAGACGAAAAAACGGCGTCCATCACCGCGTCTTTTAAAAAGCAAACACGGCCTCCGAAACTTAAAACATGGCGTGCGCATTCCAATCTCGGAGGCAGGAAAGGCATTTGAAGACCAAGCTTAGCCAAGCCGACAGAAAATCCAACATGGCGGCGTTCACAATGGCTTGGAGCGTGGCACAAAACGAGCGATTTAGTCCGAAAAATCGAACTTTCAGGGGCAAATTCGCCCGAAAAATCGGTCGAAACAATGCATTAGCTCTATGGAATCCCTGACGGTGCATTTATGAAGTCCGGAATATCCAACAAGTCCGAATTTTTGGAGTCCGGAAAATCGGTCGGCGACTGTATTCCATGGTGTACTATATTTCGCACATACCATTTAGGATTTTTCCTTGCTGGTGTGGGCAAAAAACAATGTACCAAGAAATGGTACCTCTGGTCCTATAAAAAAAAAAATGATGGTATCTTTGATGGTATCGCATTCTCCAGACCAATGGAGAATGTGATACACTCGGAGTAATTCTCCTAGCTATGCGCATTTAGGATGTGCAAGCAATTCCATATCTCTTGAGGGTTAAGCGAAACAGAGGCAAGTGCATTTTTGGATGCGATTTGTAACTCGGAGGGAGCAAACACGGGAAATCGGCATTTCATACCTGCCAAGTCTTGCAGATTGTCCGGGAGACTCCCAGATTTTGACCCTTTTTTTCCGTTTGTGCAGTTGTCAGAGGGTGCAAACACGGGAAATTGCTATTTCATACCTGCCAAGTCTTCCGGATGGTCCGGGAGTCTCCCAGATTTCTATAGTTTCTTCCGTTTGTACGGTTGTCATGAAAATCTACCGGAAATCTAAATTTCTGTGCGTGATGTGGCCGCATTGACAAAAAAAAATGCAGCTCAATCCACTCCTGGCTTTTCGAATCTACCCCGTTTTATTATAAATGAATTTAAGAGGCATTAATCTAAACGTACAGTAGAATCTTAGTGATGCGAAACCGCGGCAGATACGAATTCGAGAAGTTCTCCAGCCTGATTTCACCATGTCCATTGGGTCTAAATTCGAATGTTCCAAAGACATTTCCTAATCATGGCAGGTGATACAAACTTTCGTATAGAAACCGTCGAACGAAGACCGAGAGCAGAGTACTCGAAGCTTCGGAAGTAAGAGTGTGACCGGCACACGCGCAGTCTTCTACAATGCGTGTGATTGTCGGTACCACAACCGCTGTTGACTAAACCGTAGAAATTCTTGATACGATCATGTATGGCGACAACATAACTGACAGAATCCCAAAAGTCTGTGTGCATCCAACGCTCAACCAGTCGAAGCTGCGCTGCTTTCAACAAATTCGGCGGACAAAACCCCGGCAAATGCGATTGTAGATGACATAAAACGATGGTGCAGTGCATGCGCAGGCAAGCGCATAGGGATTGAAAAAGGAACTACGGTTTGCCGCAACCGTCGCGAATAAAACCGCAGTCGCAACGACGCGATAGCGATCTACAAGCCCCGAGGGCGCGCTGCTAACACAGCGTCGGAAAGGCACTAAATTCGTAAAAAAAAAAAAAAAAAGGCCAGATGCATTTTGGCGTTCCTGTCAAAAGAATCTAGTAGTGAGCAAGGCTTTGACCCGCGCTTTTGCGGCAGCCAGCTGTGCCGTCCCGTCCATTCATGTGTGTCCCAGAAAGACGTACGCGAGTTGTTTTGACAGAAGTAGATTCTGCTAGTTGTACTCTCACTTTAGTAGGAAACCCTACCCTCGACTCTCACCTTAGTGGGAAACCCTACCCTTGCGTGTGTGGCCACTCCAAGCCACTATAAGACCGCAACGCTTATGTTGGTGCTTGCGATTGAGACCCCCACCTCTTTTTGCTTTTTTTGCAATGTCTTTTTTTGTTTGTTTGTTTGTCCTGGGTTTTTTTTTTTTTTCCAAAAAGAATAGGGGCAAATAATTCAGTGCACCCTCTCCCCACCACTGTCACGGAAATCTCCCGGATTCAGAATCCTTGGAACTTGGCAGGTATGGTGTTTTTTTTGCTATGAACGTTTCCACCTCACAAACAGAAAAAATATATTGGCATACTTTATGGTCTCGTAAGTTCAAGCCCATTATTAGTTCTCTGAAGTTCCTCCACGACTACACCAGAGAACCCAATACCAGTGTGTGCCAAATTTGGCACAGTATGAACTTGAAAGACAAAATTCGTATTGTGGTGCCATCTGTCCTGTGAAATGCAAGACAAATGTATATAATGCGAGGTTCTCAAGCTTCGGTTATCCAATTTCCTCCGAAACTGCGGCTGAGCACCGCAAACTTGCATTTACCATGTTGCAGGTAGTAGGAAATGGCACGGGAAGGGATATAAGTGTTAGATGGTGAAGGCGTAGCACCACAGCCTGACAAATGCATCCACGTCATCACAGATCGCTCTTTCACAAGAAGGAATTTCGTCGCTCTGTACAGCAAGAGCTAATCGTCTACTATACTGCCGCCTGAAAAGCGAAAATTAACTGAAATGTAAAAGATGTAGTGCTTCACAGGTACTCGCAACCACGTTGGATGATATGGAGTTATCGTATGTTCGTTTGTACGATAACGGTGCCATATCAATCCTGTTGAGCTTTATTGGGAGGGATCTACCGTATTTACTCACATAATCCTCGCACTTTTTTTTGCCGGAAAACTGATGCAAAGTTGGGGGGTGCGAGAATTACGCGGGGAAAACTTTCCACGAAAAGGTACAGAGCGAAAAAGAAAACGAAGTGGCCGCAAATTGGGATTCTCACACCAGCAACTTACAGCAAGCTTTAAAAAGTACTAATTAGAACTTACCTCAACAATAAAAGCAGAGATACAACACAAGACAAGATTTATTAAAGACACAAAAAGTGGAAGCAAATAGTCGAGAATTGGAAAACCATACGCAAAGCGTGCGGGCGTTGCGAGCATAGCGGTAGCGTCGCTCAACAGGAGCCCTCAAAAGGTAAGCATGGGATGTCGGTATTGGGCCGATAGCTATTTAACAGAATCATCCACAGTTTCCTTCTGAAGAAATAAAGTTTACCATCAATCCCAGTTTTAGGCACACGGCAGACCCAACGCGCTTTGGTGGCTTTAAGCTGCCATCACCAGTAGCGAAACACAAAACTCGTAGACTCCGAAGGGCCTACCGGCGGCCCTGTTGCCGTTTAGTGCATGATCTATCACTTCCAACTTGAAAGCAGCTGTACAGCTTCAGTATCGCCTCGTAACGTGACAAGATTACCGACACAACATACAAAACACGCCGCAACGCACACTGGCCACTTCGGCTTGACTTGGATTGAATCTCTGTAGAATTACGCTTGATGCTTAAGAGATGGTGCCAGATGGCGTGCGCTATGATCATCAGTGGCTGGAAAGAGCAGACGACATTATTGCAGAAGTTTTGGGGGGTGCGATAATTACTCGAGAAAAAAAAGAAATCTTATTTTTGTTGGGCGATGTTGGGGGGTGCGAGAATTATGCGAGTGCGAGGATTACGCGAGTAAATACGGTAGTTCAAAAGACTTAGCGCTAGTTTACCTTAGCCAAGAAGTTTTGTTAAAACGATTACCCCAGCGCAGTAAAGGTCTACAACAGACACACGGGCGGAGTTGACCTGCTCGAGTCTCTGCTTGGACTTTACCGCATGCATATCGGGTCGAAAAAGTGGGCACTTCGAATTTTTACGCATGTGTTAGACTTATCAGTAGTAGCTGCATGGCTACTGTATAGGAGGGTGCAGGAGCAGCCTTGGAAGAAAGTACCATCGCTGGCTCGACTCAAAACTGAAATTGCAGAATGTCTTACTTCTCGCAACGTGTGCTTACCCAAAAAGCGTTCAGGAAGGCCTTGTAGAGAAGACAATAAATTCTAGGTTCAAGTAAAAAAAAAAAAAGTGGGGGGGAAGCTGCCTGCACCAATGTCCCCCAAAGACGTCCCCTATCTGACCAAGTCGGCCTCTGGCCAGAATTTATATACAAGATGTCCATGTCTCTTCTCATTAAAGAGGTCGTCGGTAAGATGCAGGAGGTGCAACAATTATTTGTGCCTGAACGCAGCAAACAAATGTTTCATTTCATTCCACACATCATGCTAAAAAGACCACCTTACACCATGCTATGTTTTTCGCCCATGGCAGCAAGACCACTCTGCCATCTTCATGGTGTGCCATATTTGGCACAAAGCTGTATCTTTATTATACAGCCATTAAAACTCTTAAACTTTTTGTACACATGTAGGTTCATTCAATCAATAATAAAAGCTGAAAAAATAATTTTTAAAATGTCTTTTTCACAATTCATGCAGTAGAGGGTTAGGAAGATTAAAAAATATTTGATTCAATTTGCACCCAGACTTCCAATTTGCATTGCACCCAAAATTTTGCCATTCACACAGCTCTATTCAATTTTATTCCTTTTGCTATTTAACTAAGGTTCATTCACACTGAAGGCGGGGTGGCCAAAGCGGCGAGGCGGCAACGCTGAAAGCGGGGAAAACCTCCTCTCCAGGCGGCGAAAGCGGGAGGAAAACGAGGCGGCTAGGCCGATCGCTCGCCGACTAATTTTTTGCCGTCCGCCAAAGCTCGCTGCTTTGCCGCAGTCACTCGGAGCGTCATGCGGTGGAGCCGCGGCAGTGTACCTTCGGGAAAAGAATTGCCACGTGACGGCGACAAGTGTGCAAAAGTGACAGACGCCCACCTCTTCTGCCACGTGGCCAGCCGAGGGAGGCACGTGGTCTCAACAAGTTCATGCACTCGTCGCTTTGAAAAGACCACTTTGCCATGCCGGCTTCCTTGTGAATGAGCCTTAAGTGAGGCACTTTAGTTGTCACATTATCATAAATGTTTCACTCGGGAATAGTGCATGGCATGTTTTTCTCTGCACGTGCTTCTTGGACTTGTAATCGTCGACAGAATAGAGCTCTCAAACGCCTGACCTTTGAGTTTCTGATCTGTGACGTATGTTCTCTAGGCTCCCTTGCCTTGCACCTACCGGGGCAAGTACCGCGACTGTGACTACCCACCTGGCACCGACCTGGGTCTCATGTATGCCCAAGAAGTTCTCAACCTCGTCAACCAGGCTCACTCGGATGGTCGCCGCATTGCTGCTTTCATACACGAGTCGCTTGTCAGCTGTGGTGGGCAGTTTCCTTTGCCCAAAAACTACCTGCGCAATGTCTACCAGTGAGTATACTAGTGCCTTTTAAACCATGCTCGTTATGTCAAGCAGTAGGTTGAAATGTGCTCATTGCATTGTACAGCAGACTTCAGACTGCAGCAATTGATGAATAGTGCAAAGCAGGTCGTGTCAAACTGCTACAGTGCTATATTTCAGTGAACCACATTCAAAGCCATCTCAAGTGGGCAAAACAGTATTCCATAAAATATTTTAATATCTTCATAAGCATTTGCCTTAGTTCCTCAGTGCCTGTCTGCTGCTATATTTGTTGGTAGTTGTGGTAAATTTCTCATTATTGTTTATTATGCGGAAAAATGCAATGCAAGAAGCAAGGACCATAATCAGTACCCCCACCTGCTCGTTATTACTGCAGCTAGAAGGCAGCCTAAAGTAATATTTTTTGCAGTGCACAACTTTTTTTCATTTTGTTTAGGAGTGTGCTCACTGTCATTGCAGACCACTGCTTGTACATGGCTTTGTTTTCCATCGCAGGTGTGCAGTGTGGAAACCGATTATAGCTATGAAAAGTATTAAAAAAAAATGCAACCTTCATATTGGGCCCTTCTATAGAAAGGGCTCGTGAAAGAGAGACCGGTAATACTCTTTACTACCGTCAAAACCGGAATATTGGTCGAATTAAAAAAAAAAGGGATGAAAGTTGACCCTTGTCTTTAACACCGGTCATTGCCAGAGAAAAATCTGAAAGTCTCGCAACAATGGTCAGCTGAAGTCAAAAGCCTCCATTGCCATCGTGAGCATCAGCAGCGGCGCCGTTGGGCAAGGCTAGGCAAGCCCTACAGTGTTCTGGCAACGCCATATATCTTGGGTTACCTTTGTCAGGCTCTTTTCTTTTTTCTATTTCCTTCAGAAATGAGTGGTAGCCGACGTCAGTTTACGATAGAATTTAAAAAAAAGTTATCGAAGTATGCTGAACCGCACGGTAACCTGTTGGCACAAAGGGAATTCGGTGCATCGGAGAAAAGTGTCCGATATTGGAAAAACCAAAAGTAGCGCATCACATCCTGCAGCGACCAAAAAGAAAAAAACTTAGTTTCTTGGTCTGACAGCAGTGCACCCCGAACTGGAAATGCTACTCGCCGAATTCATTCGAGAGCTGCGTGCAAGGCCGCTGCCTGTGATAGCAGAGTGCATCCGGGTCAAAGCTATCGAGATAACTCGCGATTATGGGCTCACAAGGGCGCAATTCAAGGGCTCGCCATAGCGGTTGTGCCGATTTATGAAGCGGGAGGGCTTTGCGCTGAGGCAGCGTACTTCCGTGTTCAAAAAGCTACCCGAAGATTTTGATATGATGGTCGAGTATCAGCGCTTCCTCATCCGGCTTCGTCAACAGCATTGCTGCATGATGGGACACATGGGCAAGTCTGACTACACTCCAATCTGGTACGATATGCCTTTAAACCAGACTGTGACCACTAAAAGATCCAAGCAAGTGAAGCTCTTGACAACAGGCAACGACCATTCGCAATTTACAGTGATGCTCGCGTGCACGTGTCAATGGAAAGAAAAGCTAGCCCCTAATATTATTTTCAAGAGAAAAAACAAGAGAAAAGGGCTACCAAAAGAAGCATTTCCCCGAGATGTTATCGTGAGAGTGAACAAAACAAAGTAGGGTTCACAAATGAGTCCCTTATGCTTGAGTGGATCCAGCTCGTGTGGAATCGGCGACCTGGTGCGCTTTTTCAGCAACCGATCATGTTGGTTCTCGACTCATTTCGATGCCAGCTCACGGCCGATGTAAAGGGAGCTCTGTCCGGTGGCCAGCTCTGTCCGATGGCTAGGCGGACCTTGTGATCGCTGGGGGACTAACATTAATCTTTCAGCCACTAAACGTAGTGCTCAATAAACCTAGTGTGCGTGAGCTTTACAATGAGTGAATGCTGGGCGACAATCCGAAGATCCCCGCTGACTGCCTACGACATCCACCGCTCGCAACCGTTTGTGGCTGGGTGTCGTAAGCTTGCAAATCTCTCCCGCAAGAGATGACGCTCAAGTGTTTCCGCTAATGCTGCATCAGCGTGGCATTGGATCGATCGGAGGACGATGCACTCTGGGACGTACCGTATTTACTCGATTCTACCGCGCCCTCGATTGTAACGCGCACCCGATTTCCACCGCGAAAAAAAAAAAAAAACGTAAGACATCGCTTGCAACGCGCACCCATTTTTTTTGCTGGCCCGCATGATCACACCACTCGAAAAAACGATTCCTTTCGGGATTGTCTTCCATTTAAATATGAGGTACGGGCGAAGCTAGTGCCCATCTGACGTGTAACAGAGCATTGCCGTCACTGTAGTTTTACCGTGGACCGATGTCAGCACGCGAACTTGCTTCGCCCCCTTCTTCTCGACAGTTGTGGTGCCAGGCATGTCGAAGTAAAGAGGCGTCTGATCGGCATTCCAGATTTGCCCAAGCAGGTAGCCGTTGTTGCGCCGCAAGTTTAGGACGAACCTCTGAAAACTGTAAAGCTTTTCATCGTACTTCTCCGCAAAAGTTTTCGCATATGCATGTTCCCCTTCGGAGGGAAGAGCCTTTCCTCTTCATATAGTTAATTAGCCAGCACCTGCTCGCTTTAAACTGGCTCCGCATTAGACTTTTTTCTAAGACTAATTGCATAGCCCGCACTTGGAGCAGTTCTGTCGTCACGGGCCGCTGTGCTGCTCGCTCCTCAAGCACATACTCGCGGAGCAGCTCTTCAATTTGCGGCAACCGACCCTGCTGTGGTTCACTGAAGCCTTTGCGTGAAGCTTTGCTGTCGACAATCTTCTGCTTTTGTTTCCGCCGGTCCCGCACGCACGTTTCGGGAACGACCGCGATGCGGCCCGATTTCCGTCCGTTTCTGCACACGCGATGACTTTTCTTTTAAAAGCGGCATCGTGGTGCACTCGAGTTTTTGGAGTCGGCCCTTCCACGTCGTCGATGCTAATGCACTACTAGATGACGAACTCCTCAGCACACGTACGAAGTGCCGCACATGGTAAACACATAGGCAGAAATAGCCGACGCACCATGCCAACGCACGTAGGGGGCGGCCATTTTGGATTTGCGATGGCAATAGATTGACCGTCATTTTTTTGTTCGTACTCGATTCTAATGCGCATGCGATTTATGAACTCGCTTAACCGGAAAAAAGGTGCGCGTTAGATTCGAGTAATTACGGTAACTAGTGAGACAGACATTGTCCTACTCAAGTTGGGACGAGTCTGAGTGACAGCACTTTGTGGCCTTTCGGCGTTTAACTACATAAGAATAATCTTGAAATAAAAAGAAACTTCGCCCCAGTGCAGGTGGTTGTGTCTTGTATTCATCAAGATAAGGGTGCGCCGCAATACTAGTGTATTTATCAAGATAAGGGTGTGCCACAAAGTTGGGGTGGGCGGGGTCGACCTATATTCCATTTTTCACGGTAATATTGTCTAGCACATTTGCAAGAGATTGCTTGTAATGTGAATTATTTACTGTAAAAATCTCCTGGTGGTGCTACATTTTTTCGAGAGTTCATTCATCATTGGCAGTTCAGAGTTCAATGACCGCATGCTCATCCAATGGACTTTTTTTTTTTCGTTACCTCAAGGTACATTCGGGAAGCTGGTGGAGTATGCATTGCTGATGAAGTCCAGACTGGATTCGGGCGCGTTGGAGAGTACATGTGGGGCTTCCAGCTTCAGGGTGAAGGTAACAATTGCTTGTATTCATGTAACTGTAACAATGTGGAGCTTTACATGCAAGATCCACCCCCCTCCCTGATTGACAGTGTTTTTCATTTGTCAGTGCATGCGTACTGCTTAAGCTGCTGATTTTCAGCAGCATTTTCTGCTGCTGAAAAAAATGCTGCTGAAAAAAATGCTGCTGATTGGCAGTCTGGGCTCATGCGAGCATGAGAGCCAAACGTTGTAATGCAGCATGAAATTTGCAGTCAAATTTGAAAGCCTGCTAAAGATTGCTTGTTCATGATAAGTGATCTCATAAGGTCAGCTTTTTTTGCCTCATAAGCACATGGTCATTGGCTGATTTGAGTGTACTGAATGAATACGCTGTGTAAAAACACAAGGACCAGAAGGCTTCGCGTGCAACATAATAGTGTGAACTATCAAGTGAATTTTATAAACGTGTGGAAAAACTGATCCTACTGTTTAACCCCGGTGATATCACAGCTGCGCCAAACTGTATCAAGGGGCGAAACCTGCTACCGTACTAACTGGAACATTATAGGTCTGATTACAATAGAGGTTGACCCCTCCCTATTCCCCCCCCCCCCCCACACCTTGAATCTTCGAAAGTTCTTTTGAAAATCTCAAAGTATTGCGGCGCACCTTACCTTGTTACAGTGCAACCTTGTTAAACCTTAACCGCTGAAACAGTAGATTCCGTTTTAAAAGTAGTAAGGTCAAATCCGCCACTGGGCGGCCATTTAACATAATGCATTTTGTATCCGCATTAACCGTACAAGCTTATCGCGTATAAATCGGTTGATAAGTACTTTTTCCAACTTTCGTTGCGCACTCGCAGTGGCATGTCGTCTCCCACTGGGCGTTTCGACAGAACAGCAAGCCCCAGAGATCGAAACACACCTCGCTTGTTTGTGTTGATGATGATGGCAGCTGTGTTGGTGAGGGCCATCTCTTGGCTTTTTCTGCAACAAAAAGCACTCGGCCGGCTAGGTTTCTGGTGTTGTCCACGCGATGGCGTTTTGCACAACCACCCAAACACTGTGTGCGCTTCCTTTGCTTTCTTTGTTGTTTTGGCGCCGTGCATACGTGTTCTCTGTACAGCTCTCGAGTCGTTTTTCACGTGTTGTGTATGTGTGCTTATGTTGCTTCGTACTTGCATCATGCCAAAGCTGGAACAAAAGCATCGAGTGCTGAAAATTAGGACATTGAAAGTTGCAAGAAAAAATTGCCGCTGGCACGCAAAAAGGACCTGCCGTTAAGCACGGTGTGTGGAATTTGGAATTTCAAAAAAGAAGTTGCTCGGTAGTGTTGCTGCAACTACGAAAAGGGGCCGACTGCGCGGTTCGGCGTTTTCAGATGTAGAGGAGGCGCTGGTGAAGTGGTTAAAAGCTGCACGGTCGAAAAATCTGCCTATCAGCGAACCCCGGCTCATGGTGTAGGCCCTGGTTTTTGCTTCTCAGCTCAACCATGACAACTTCGTGTGCAGCAAAAGCTGGCTGGCCATATTTAAGGTGAGGCACGGCATCGCCACGAGAACTGTTTCGGAAGAAGGAGCTGCTGCTGACGCGGATGGCGTGGAGCAGTGGCAAAATGGTCAGCTCAAGAACATCTTGGAAGACAATGCACCTAATGATATCTTTAATATGGATGAATCGGCGCTATTCTTTAAGCTGCTACCTACTGCAGTCATCGGCGCAGCCTTCAGCACTTGCATTAAATGGTACCAACGGTGCCTTCACAGCCAATCTTTTTGGACAGCAGAGCTCAAAATAAAGCAGGTCTCAACACAAAACAAAACGTGTGCCGAATTCGGCAGAACGCAGTACCGCAGACACATATGATAGAATGGCAGTGATAGCAGTACAGCGCCATGACGGCGCGGAATTGCTGGAACAGGAACATGGGATGTTCGCGATGTCGATTAGACTTCCCCTAGTTGAGCAGTGCCTCCAAGATTGGCATTGTTGTAAAGCTGTGAGACAATCCAATCCAAGTAAAGCCTCGCACATAACCAGTTTGCTTTCGTTTTAAATTTGAGACCATACTTTGTACTGTATGGGTACCGGAGGAGATAATGGCTGCCGATTCGGTGTGCACTCCTCGGACATAGTTTGGATTATTGAATGCAGATCTGGCAGCGGTCGGAAATATCTGTTGTTTTTACACATATGCTGTATTCAGCCATCGGTGGTGTCGTGCGGCTGTCTGGATTACACTGAGCATGTCTGAATTATCGATGTCGGATTTATCGGTCGGCGGCTATATTGGATGGGATATGCTAACAGATATTGGTGATAAGAATGACAAAGCCGCCAATCTTTTGCACATGCTTTGGAATTTGAGCGTTTTCACGGTACCACCACAAGCCCCCATAGAGCTAATATATGACATCTGAAGTTTTGTATGCAGTAACTCGTCGAAGTCTAATATTTACTGAAATAACACTAATATTTAGTCTGAAACTGCATTGGCGATGCAAGTCGGAAAATGCAATTGTTTCCCAAAATTCTATAATTGTTTATTTTCATTTGCTTTCATAAGTTTAGTTTCCCTACTTTCTCAGCAAAAAAAAAAATTCTCTCAGCCAAAAAAAAATTCCCGCATATTCACGGAGTGAATGATGATGAAGGAGCTTGCTCTAGACCTTAAATCCGGTAAACCCTGAATCCTCTGTACATAAGCTCAATCATCATCGTATAAAGATGGGACACGAGAGTTGTTGTGGTGTGATTGTATATACACGTTGTATACACAACGTTTATTATTTACATATCAATGTGCTATATACAGGTATTTACATACTGATGCAGTATATACATTTTGTTCAAGAGCTTATTTACGGATTGCATAAGCTTGGAGGAATGTTTTCCTTTTAGTATAATGGCTTTGTGATCCGTGAAGTACCAAGCCAGAGGATCTTGAATTACAGGATGTAGTGGAAAGTACTAGAAGGGTCCCGACGGCAAGTCTGCGGTATTCATAGTGGGTAGCGGTATCAACGCACACCGAGTGATGTCCGGTGAAAGAGAAAGGAAGGGCGCCGAGAGCAAGCGCTATATATAGGTGTGGCCACCTAGTGGTCTCCTACCAAACTAGAGCACGCGCCAAGAGTGTAGCGAGCGTCTCCTCAGTGGCGGCGCGCCATCTAGTGAGCGCTCTTGAAACGAAGAGCATAGCTACGCCTCTATCGGGAGCAATGAGCACTAGCATACACACCGGCTCAACAACGAGAGACAACCCACCAGAAAAAGGAGCAAGCTCATAAAGGAAATGGAAAATTGCAATTACATTCGAAGTAGGTTAAAATTTCTGTAAAACTGTGCAAGGTGGCTGCTAGAAACTAAATAGAGCTCATTGTCTGGAGTCCCCTGGAAGTTGTGCCCTGGTTGCTTACCATTGCATTTTTCATAAGCAGTTTAACAAAGGCACATGCTCAATTTAACTATGATTTCCAAGCTCCCATGACGGAATGAATGATTTGAAAAAACATATCTTTGCTGCATAGATGAACTTTCGCTTCTACTTTTAAAATGTGTTTTTGTCAAGATACAATTTGGGACAAAGGCTCCATGTTTTGGTATTCTTGATCGCTGGATCAGGTTGAAAGCTTTCTCGCATAGTATACTTTATCATGTGGACAGCACAAGTGTCTCCTTTGAAACTTTATATCGCCTGTATAATTATTATGAACCTACAATAAGCAATTAGTATGGTCTGAGCATTCTAAGACTTCACATTAAGACATCTTAATAGACAAGAAAAATTGTGTATGCGCTTTCGGGTTAGTTATTTGCATTCTACAGTTAATGTGAACCATTATCGGCCATCGGACAATAACTTTCTTTAAGAATTCGGGCGTGATCCCTGCACATAATCTGTACCAATATCATTAGAGTCTTATATACAGACAAGATCACTATCGGAACATAAACAACTTATGTAATCTTGCCCAACTTCAAAGAAAAGCTCCAACTTACGGTACCAGACACTTAGAGGACGGGTTAGTACTAACACCGCATTCAAACTACGGAAGACAAATGCTCCACTACACAATACCTACACTACTAAACAGCTATAAATAAATGCAAATTGATCTTCTTATGGCCTCTTTCAAAGATCATAAAAGGATGCATGTGGTTTCTACATATATTATACACATGTGCAATACAGACACGTTTTTGATTTTGTTTGGGAGACGCGAGTCGAAAAGTCGCGGTTTTCCGGAAAATTTTCGCTTTTTTTTTTCCGGCTGTATTGGCATCCTTGGACTATAATCTATTACTTCTGAAAATATCAAGCTGAAATTCGCACGAGAAATTATCAAAAAATGCTTCCAAGTGGGCAGCGGTGACGCGAGAAATGCGCGAAAGTCGCGAAAAACGGCGAAGTTCGCTTCGTCCTGTCGCGAAAACGACGCGTTGGCCGCCATTTGCAATCGTGCACGCATGCTGCGAAGGCCGTATCCTTCATAATCCACTAGTAGCCAGTCTCGTGCCTTCACGCAGAATAAACAAAAAACGAGAAAAATAACGCGTACGTCACGCATTTTGAATATCGCGGCACACAGTGCGAGGCCGCCATAGGACGGCGGTGCGCTCCACGCTCCTCCCCCTCCCATCTCTCCGGCAAAAGAGCGAAGCCTCGGACGTCGCGATCGAGTTTTTCTACGTTTCTCTGCATTTTTGCGTCATGGCAAGCCCGAAAAAGTGCAGTTCAGATAATCGAAAGTTCAGAACTCGCCACAAGTATCGAGGGAAACGGCGTCGGACGCTTCGCAAAGCGACAGTGAACGACGATGTCGCCCCCGACCAACGCCCCGACGCTCCGACTTCGGATAGGCCTAACACCGTCACCGAACCCTGCGACAGTGGTTGTGAAATAGCCGCTGCCGTGGAATTCGTCAGTGCATCCCAAAGGAAGATTGGATTCTTCGAGAGTGAACGTAGACCGGTAGATGCTGCTACTGCGAACATGCTGCTTTGCGAAATCGATGCGCTGACGGCA